GGAGGCGGAGGAGGCGGGAGCTGAGCTGAGCGGGGCGGACGGCGGCGGCGGGGCCCGAGCCCGAGAAGATGGCGGTGCGGAAGAAGGACGGTGGCCCCAACGTGAAGTACTACGAGGCCGCGGACACCGTGACCCAGTTCGACAACGTGCGGCTCTGGCTCGGCAAGAACTACAAGAAGGTACGCGGCCCGGACACGCTGGGCCGCGCGGGGGCCGGGGGCGGGACAAAGGGGCTGCGACCCCGCAGTTCCCCCGGGTCCTGCCCACCCTCCTGCCGCCCCCGGCCCCTCCCCCGCGGCCTCCGAGCAGCTTGGCTCTCCCTCCGCCCCGCCCGGCGGCCCGCGCCCCTCCCCCAGCCCATTTTGCCCCCACCCCCAACCTCTGATTCCAGCTCCTGTGCCCTCTGCCCCTTGTTTTTCTCCACTACCCCTACGGGCCCTGTGGCAGCCGACCACCCTCTTCTAAGCCATCGCCTCCCCGGCTTTTCCGGGAGAGATGGCCGGTGGGGGTGGACAGGGCGCGAGTGGGTGTCCACCGAATGTGCCCGCCACAGTGCCCGCCAGTGCTCCCCACGGAGCCAGGTACCAGCAGGGCTGGAGGCCTCCCTGGTGCTTTGTGTGTGTTCCGAGAGAGATGATGGAAGCTGGAGGGTGAACAGCTACAGAGCAGGCCCTGGCTGCTCATCAGCCTGAAAAGGCCCCCTTCTAGATCACCTCTCTCCACCACTCGCCCCCTGCCCATCTCCACCAAAGGGGCAACAAAATCTCATTGGGAGCTGGGGTATAGGAGTGCTTAAGGAGCCGCCTCATAAACCTTTCACTCAGCATCACAATGAAGGCACCCTGCAAGCTAGCTAGCCTTGTATTGCCTTGAGTTTGGGGTTCAGAGAGGAAAGGACAAGCCTTATAGCTAGCCTCCTTCTGTCAACGCTGTAAGTGAAGATAATAAGGTAGCACACAAAGGGTTCAAGGAGTCTTACCTGTCTTGTTAACAAACCTTTTCCTAGTGGCTTTGTGTTTTCCACATAGGATGTTTCTCTGGAAATTGTCTCTGCCTCTCTTCTTTCACAGTACCCCCAATTAGGGGCTCTCTTTCAGGCTTTCTTTTGACAGTCTATGTCTTCCTGCCCAGCCTCCCAGGCTGTTAGAGGTGTGATAGGTGGATTCTCCTGTGAGTCTGGTCCTTTTCAGAGGGTCTCCTTTGGTGTCAGAATCCTGACAAACAGCTGCTGGGTCTGTAGCTGTTCTCCACTTTAATGAGGCTCTGGTTCCCAGGCTTTTACCTTTAACCTTTGGGAAGATCAGTTTGGGAGCTTAGTCTCTGGTCTTGGTGCGACTGACAGCCTGCAACTTGATTCGGTTGTCATGTTTTAGCTCTGTCACATACCTTTACCTTCACTGGTCTCTTTATACCTCCTCCTGAAGGGAGCAGCTTGAGGAAACAGGGGTCACAAGGTAAAGAGAAAGTTAGCATCTGGCTTAGCTCTAACGAGAACAGAAGGCTAGGATGTTAGATGGCATAATATGGAAATGTTTAAGAAGGCCCAAGATTACTTGTGTCAAATAGAGTTTCCTTAGCAAGGAAAGACAAGTATCTTGCTGTTCCCTAGCAGGCAGGCAGGTTCTGGTCCTTCTCTTCACTGAACCTTGAAGACATTTGTGCGCAATTCCTCGCCAAAAACAAAACATGCAAGCTCCTTCTCGTCTGCTTGCCCTGCCTCGTTTCCTTGTGTCTTTCTTATTAGGCTATAGTAAAGGAAGAATCTTGACTTTCCACAAAATTCCTTCAAGAATTACATTGTGCTCTTGCTTAGCCCTGTTGGTATCACTGTGGTGGCCTGAACTCCATAAACCTTCAGTGTTTTAGTCCTCTGTGTTGTTGACCAGAGATTGGGTGCCACAATAACTGGTTCTTACAACTTATATTTCAGGGTGTAGTTAAGAGAAGAGTAGAAAACTGCCCTTATTCCTACGTTCGCAACCTGGGCTGGTGGCAGCAGAATTTCCACTTTGTGGTTAAGGTTATCGAGGACCTCCTTTCTGCCATTTTCTTTACAGCAACTAGGTTATATGACAAGAAAAGCACTATTTTCTCTGTCCTAGATGCTTCTAAAGCACCTGCAGAAGAAATCTGGGAGATGGTGAACAATTTATCTAAGTTCTATTTTTCTTTCCCTCTGTCTCCCTAGTATATACAAGCTGAACCACCCACCAACAAGTCCCTATCTAGCCTGGTTGTACAATTGCTACAATTTCAGGAAGAAGTTTTTGGCAAACATGTCAGCAATGCACCACTCACTAAACTGCCGGTGAGTGTGAAACCAAGGGGGCAAATCCTTCAAACTGGATCGAGAATTATGTTTTTTATGTATTTGTAAATGTCGTAATTTTTGAGCTTTGGGCATAGCTGGTCACTGTTATCACTGTCTTGACACAATCCCCATGTTGCCACGCTGTTTGTCTTAGTATTACTTTGGGCAACAGATTACTCAGAGCATCTAGGCTCAACCTAGGATACTCTCATGGCATGTTAAAAGGGTATTGAGGTTTGGATTTGTACAGGCTGGTGTTCAAATCCTGGGTCTGCCACTTGATGGCTCTGTGTCTTGGGCAAGCCGTTTAACCTTTCTGGGTCTTGGTTCCTTCATCTCCAGATGAGAATAATAACAGCTACTTTGTAGGGTTTCTGTAATGGTAAATGAGCTAATCTGGTAAAGTGCTTGGCACAAGGTGGTGCTTTGTGAATACTAGTTTCTTTCCCTTCACTCTTCCAAGCCACATGGTACAGTGGTTAAAGAGTTCTAGCTTTGAGAATGAGATTAGTCCAGTATGGGGGTTGTATAGAAGGATTGTCAGGCAATAAGAGATTTTAGGATGTAACACTCACACACGTCTTCCCTTTTTCAATTTTATAGATCAAATGTTTCCTAGATTTCAAAGCAGGAGGTTCCCTGTGCCACATACTTGCAGCTGCCTACAAATTCAAGAGTGACCAGGGCTGGTGAGATGCCTTCTATATGCTTCTTACATCTAATGTAGAGGGAATCTTCCTTTGTGATCCTCTCGGGCCTTTCAGGGGTGGGAAAGAATAAGTAGAAATTCTTGTGAGTTTCTTACTTTGCTAGGTCAGTCGGCCTGACTTACTAGGCCAGAAATGGCTGGGAATCAGAGCCAAAATAGTCTCCAAGAGTGAGTGAGGAATATGTGTGTGTGCATCAGTGTGTATATTGTTGAGGGGAAGGGTTGACATCTCAAGCTTTTCTTTGTCCTTTTGGACTAAGCACAGGGAGATTCAAGGAATTGAAGTCAGTGTACCCCAGATCATAGGTGATGTTGGTAGAAACAAGATCACATCCCAGTTTCCCATGTTAAGAAGTCATATACTCTAAAAGAAAAATAAAAAAGCAGTCATAAACTCTAATCTCATGCCCAGACTTGAGCTATACCACTTACATTATTGCCCCTTTGCAAGGCGGCGTTATGATTTCCAGAATCCTTCACGCATGGACCGCAATGTGGAAATGTTCATGACCATTGAGAAGTCCTTGGTACAGGTAATAGTCAAGAATATAATCTGTCTCCCTTCCCTCCATGACAATCCAAAGCACTCTTTCGCCATAGTCACACCCCATCTGTTTCTCCTTCCCACAGAATAACTGCCTCTCTCGACCTAACATTTTTCTGTGCCCAGAAATTGAACCCAAACTGCTAGGGAAATTAAAGGACATTATCAAGAGACACCAGGTGAGTGGGTGGATCACAGGAGGTCTCATTAACTCCACGACTTTTCCTGATGTTTTCCATACCAAGAAGCAGTTCTGATGTACCATGTTTTTTACTGCAGAGGTGACTCTACTACTTGGAGAAAGACTAGTCCTAAAGCCTTGAGCCTCCTCTTTCCCCATCTTTTTCTCTCATTTCCCAGCCTTGACAGCTTAGATCACTGTTGCTAGAGATTGCCTTGGCCTAGAAAGAAAGCATTCACTTCCACTGGGCATCTGAGTCTCAATAAGTAAAATCTTTATCCTTTTTAGCTTGATAAATAACAACAAGCAGATGTCATAAATGGTTCTTAGCCCACTTTAACTTTCCCATGAGGCTTCATCTAACATACTTTGGGCATGTTGCAAGGAGGGGAACATCATGCTTGGAAGGGTGGAGAGAAGAGAAAGGAAGACCATCAATGAGTTGGATTGATTCATTGACTGGGATAATGAGAGTAGGTGTGTCAGAGACAGTAAAGTTGGAACAGATAGAGCAGATTTCATGACTATTGTATGTAGGGTCACTATGAGTCACAAGCAACTCGACGGCACAAAACAACAACAGCATATTGCCTGTTCAGACAATAGTTAAAATTTTTTTCAGTTCTTTGACTTCTCTCGATTACTAGCACTTCTAGCAGTTTTCCTCTATCCCTTGGGTGATTTGTGCTTAAGAGTGTAAACTATCTTTAATACCATCTTAAATAAAATAATGATTATGAAGGCTGATATGTAGTTAAATCTTACATTGGTTCATTTATACCATGGGTGGGGAGCTCTGGTGGCCTAGTGGCAAGGAGTTGTAACTATAATCCCAGAGGCGCACGGTTCGAATCCACCAGATGCTCTGCCGAGGAAGGAGGGGCAATCTCCTCCTGTACCAGTCAGATCTGATTTGATGGTACACGCACACAAAAATAATAATAATAAAAAAAAATAATAAACATTTATACCATGGGTAATTCTAGGGGTCTATATTTCCATTTTCTCTAAAAATAATAATAATAATAAAAATAATAAACATTTATACCATGGGTAATTCTAGGGGTCTATATTTCCATTTTCTCTGTGTGTCATCCAGGGAACAGTCACTGAGGATAAGAGCAATGCCTCTCATGTTGTGTATCCCGTCCCAGGGAACCTCGAAGAAGGTGAGATCTGAATTTTCCTGGTCACTGCAGTGGCTTGATTTCTTGGACTGGGAGGCAGATCACAGTTTAGATCACCACAGATGTCTGGGCTCCTTTCCCCTGATTTTGCCTACCCTCTTACATTCCCCTTGTGCAATAAGGAAGTGCTTAGGGCTTTTGTTCGGTGTTATTTTCTGCACGCCCCTTTAGCTTATCTTCTCCACTCTCTGTCTTTCTTCTCAGAGGAATGGGTACGACCAGTTATGAAGAGAGATAAACAGGTTCTTCTGCATTGGGGTTACTATCCTGACAGGTAGGGATGGGTTCCTGGTGCAAGTTTAGGTACAAGAAGCCACAGAACTAACAAAGCAAAAAGGGGCTCTTGCAGGGTTATTTTTAGGCCAGATAATTTGTTTTCCCCTACTCTGTGAAGGTTAGAAACAATCTAAATGTCTGAAACATTTAGATAAATTTGTTTATCAATGGACTTGTATACATCCTTTAAAATGATATTCTGAAACAACATGGATAATTGGTAGATTTCTAATTGTAAAAAATAGGATGTAAGATTACATCTAGTGTGATTATGATTATATGAAAACAATGGATAAAAAAATTACTAGGAGTAGAGGATTAATCATAGGGTCGCATAATTTTATGGGTGGAGGGAGGGGTGGGTAAAGAAAATGGAATCTGGGGTGAAAAACAATGTATGTGAACTTTGTAAGTAAACTAGTATAAAATAAAAATGTTATTTAAATTAAAAAATTACTAGGAAACATAGATGTTAAATGTCAAGAATCAAGAATAGATGCTTTAGGGGAGTTCTGGTAGCCTAGTGGCAAGACACTGCACTGCAATCCCAGAGGTACGCGGTTCAAATCTGCCAGATGCTCTGCTGGAGAAGGAGGGGGCAATCTCCTCCTG